GGGTACCCTGACGACCTTGATGTGCCTTGTGGTTCTCCAGGGCTATGTGGCTTCACCACCTAAACAGCACGACACCCTGGGCCTTTGAGTCTTCAACTGTATAAAAAATTCTGATGTAGCCCGGCATAGTGCACAGCTCAAATGCCAGCACTGAGGGACAGAGGCAGGAGGTAGTGGGTTCAAAGCTAGACAGAGCAACACTCTAAGACCCAAAATAAAGGGGAAACATTAAAGAGAGAGAGAGAGAGAGAGAGAGAGAGAGAGAGAGAGAGAGAGAGAGAGAGAGAGAGGAGACAAGGTTTTCCAACAGCAAAGCTGTGCGCAAGAAGCGCTGAGCAACTCTACTCCCAGGGGCCCAGGGACTGAGCCAGCCCGATGTCCACGAGTGGATGTGTACACACACAGAATGTGACCCACAGACAATGGAGCATTAGTCTTCCGTGAAAAGGGATGGAGCACTGGGTCATGTGACCATGGATGAACTCCAGTGATCGGCAGAGAGGAAGCCACTAAGCCCTCAAATCAGTAGATAGGAGATCCACAGACAGGTAGAAGCAACTGTTTGCAGGAAGCTGAGGATGGGGAGGGGCTACTGAATGGGGGCGGGGCCTCATTGGGGTGCCGTAGCCGTGCTGATAGATCAGACCGAGTTGGACCATCTCCTGATGCAGGAGAAACTAGTTACACAGGTGCAATGAAGGATTTACTAATTAACTTGCTTAGAAGATACTAAGTTACACAGAGTTAGAGAAGGAGCGCTGCCTCCAAGATGACTGGAGATCAGCAGTGCACTAACCAGGCTCCCTAGAAACGGTAGGAAGAATGTTGTACCATAATTGAAGTTTAGGGTTTCTGGGAAAGCTCTGCTAATGTTTGTTCACTAAGATGGACCTTCAATTAGGCTTCATTTCCATAACAAAAGGAGACAGCCCTGACTAACAACCAGCCTAGGCTACTCCCACAGCAAAGAACACGCCCCCAAGGGGCGGCGCACCGGAACTGCAGGCTTGCAGAGGTCACTAAGTCCTGGTCTGCCTTTAAGTCAGGAGACGCACCGGCCTGCCAGGTGGGCAAGAGGGACCTGGGTAACAAACATTCAAAAACAACACCGGTTAAGAAATACTATTAAGAAATAATTCTGATAATATCTTTACCGTGTAAATCTCCCATCTGCCCAAGTGACCAGACTTGCAGTCTCTTGTCTCTGTCTAAATTGTTCAGAGTGTAACCTGGGACTGGAATGGAGAGGTTTAAGGATGACAGCAGATGTGAAAAGCATGTGTCTAAGGCATCTAAGTTAGTAAAACCTGTTCCAGCCAGCTCCTCTTTGGGCACAGCCAGTTATCATTTGGGATGCGAGTTATCATTAAGGTGCTTTCCCCTTAATCTCCTGAGTGTGCAGAGCGAGCGGGTTCCCACTGAGAATGAGGGGGAGCATGCAGATTGGGTTCTCACTGGGGATGACGGGGAGCATGCAGAGTGAGTTCTCACTGGGGAGGCGGAAGGACATGCTTGCTTTGCATCATTCCACTCTGATGAGCAACAGCTGAACCTGTGTGAATCAAACCTCCACGAAGGAAGGAGAAGAGGAGGGAGGATAGAGAGAGGCAAAGTGGGGAGGGAGGGAATGTTAGAGACGAATTATCTCCACCTCAAACAGAGGAGCATGTGAGCACAGTAGCTAGACAAGACAGGGAGCACCAAGATCCAAACTGGGCGAGCAAGCACACAGGACAGGAAGTTCACTTCAGTCTTATTCTAACACAGGTGGTGATTCCATGTCCTTTTCCTGTCCCACCCTTCCAGCACCCCACTGTCTGGGATTGGACCTCAAAGTCATGATTGCCTAGTTTTCAAGGAGTCCAAGCAAAGGAAATGAAGGACAGTCGAGGTCACTTAAATTCTGATAATGAAGCAGGACATGGTGGCCTACACCTTTAATCCTAACACCTGGAAGGCATAGGTCTTCTGTGAGTTCAAGGCCAGCCTTGTCTACATAGTGAGTTCCAGGACAGCCAAGGACTACACACTGAGACCGTGTCTCAAACAAATAAACACACACAAAACAAACAAAATACTAAATTTTGATAATACAGCAGGACCTTTGTATAAACAAGTTTTAGCCAGTTGGAGGGAAATGAAAACATTTGCATAAACGTTTCAGTTCGGGAGAGATTAAAATATTTTGATTTCTCATCACAAACAAAAGTTTTACAGTGCTTGAGAGAAAAAAATATTAAATGTTCCTTACAGGAGAGAAGGAGGAAAGGAGAGAAAGAAGGAAGGAAGGAAAGGAGGGAGGGAGGGAGGGAGGGAGGGAGGGAGGGAAGTCTGGAAACGAGAGGGGGAAGGCCAGCTACCTGTCTGTGGACACCTAGTGAATGGCGCTTCCAAGTAGGCTGCTAGGACCCTGTGAGAGACACTGGGACAGGAGGTGTGGCCATAACTACAGTGAAGGAAGGCTGGGTTGCTGCTACAGGTGGAGGACTGGGAGCCTTCCTCCTCTCTAGCCAGTTGGGTTGTACTCCTGTCACAATCTCCACCTTATAGACTTGGAGATGACGCCTCAAGAAAGAGTCAATTTTCATAAATTTGCATGAATCCAGCTCTGAGAAACAGAGGGTTGAACCAGGTGCGTTTATTCCCAAAGCCCTGCTAAGGGTGAAAGGCTCAGAGATCGAGGGCCTGCTAAGCATGGGTGACACCTGGAGCTCTACTCCAGGGCTGCACACACACACACACACACACACACACACTAAAAGAGGCATCAGTAAGATGTGCAAACACACCTGTCATCCAGGTACTCAGGGAGCAGAGGCAGGAAGACCGTGAGTCTAAGCTCAGCCTGTGCTACTTGGTGAGTCCCAGGGACACCTGAGCTGCAAACAAACTATTTTGGGGGTGGGTGGGAGATAAGATTAAGCCAGGGGAAGGAAGAATTCCTCCCCATCAGGAAAGACCAAGGGACCTCAAGAGCACATGGTGGAGACAGAGTCTGGGGGAGGCAATCAAAGAGGGCTTCTGAGAAGAAGTGACACTGAAGGAAGAGAAGAGATATATGTACCTTATAAGGAAGGTTATGGTCCCCAAGATGGATGGACAGGCTGAAGCAGAACAGTGACCATCAGGTGGTGGGCCTGGGAGGAACGGGGATCAAAACAGGAACCAGTGGAGGGGGACTTCCATGCAAATACTATCATCAGAGTGTGCCAGGAGCCCCGTAGCACAAGAAAGCACAGCCATAAACAACAACACTTAAGGTTTCTTAGCACTGGCCCCAGATTGGCCCCAGAGAGCTACACTCCCAATGTCTGGATGCTCACATCCAAGCTCAGCACCCTGCACACTGGGCAAGGTGGCCCACGATGACCAAAGATCTGCTACAGAAGGATGGCACGGACTTCAAGAATGGACCACAGGACCCTACAGCTTCCAGCCTGCTCTCTTGGAGTCATCTGCTCTGGGGAGGATATGAGCCATGTTGTTGGGAAGCCCAAACCCGTGACTACAGCCTACATTGCTCGTCTACAGAGCGCCGTGCTGTGGGGTACTTCTCCAGAGGTCCTACTTCACACTGCTAGATTAGGAAATCAGAAAACAGCACCTGCCTTGGGCAGACAGTATGCACCTGTTTTCCAGGGCGCCAAGGTCAAATCATAAGTTGAAGGCCAGCCTGACCAGCACAGCAAGACAATGTCTAAAAATTTTAAAAAACAAACAAAACCAGAGATAGTGGCACACACCTGTACTTTCAGCACCAGGAGGTAGAGGCAGGGCTCCAAGGCCAGCTGGGATTGCATAGGGTCAGTCTCAGAAAAAAAAAAAAAAACAAAGCAACAACTTTAAAAAAGTAAAAGGAGCTGGGGAATGAGCTCTGAGATCTACCCCAGTATTTCAAAACAAACAAAAACTTGCAGATCTCCAAGGGGAGGGGGAGATGGCTCAGTTCTAGGGGCCCAGGAGATGCTTAGAGTGGCCCTTCAACTCTCAGCAAAGACCCAAAGTGAGACTGGGAACAGTGTGAGCAAGCGTGCTGGAACAAGAGGAAGATCAATGCCAACCAGAAAGACACTTGGCTTTCCCAGTGCTGCATGGGATCCGGGGATGGCTGGGAAAGGACAGGAGACAAGGCCCAGCCCCTCACTGGGGGACTCTAGGCCCCTGGCTGCTACTGAAGGGCTGAAACAAGCTGACACCAGCAATGCTGGGGCTGAGAGAGGAGAGAAAGAAAAACACTGCCACAGAACTTCGCCTGATATTTTTCCTTCGTCCAGAGCTTTGTCCCAGGATTGGGTCTCTTCTGTAAGTTGAGGAGCCCAATGCCCTCTCTCTGAGCTTTGCCTTGGAAGATCCAATCTCACTGAAACTCAGACTGCAGATAACATTGAGTTCTGGTTTAGGGCAGAAACAAAATAAATACAAACTACAAGGAAGCCTGCCTGAGGGGTTGGCAGCTCTACTGTATCTACTGGGCGGTGTCATTACACATCTCTTTAAAATCTCAGGAAGCTGTATAACTGACTGTATATTTAACACAACTAGAAAGAAAATTTTCCTGTACTCAGTAGGCTGCCATTGACTGTTGCCTCGTTGTGATCAGGGCTGTGCTGGGCATTTATTAATATCTCACTGTTCTTCAGTTAATTTGAGGCTCAGAGAGGGTAAGTCACTTGGCAAAATTCACACAGCAATAAAGACCAGAGACAGAATGGCTTCCAAGTGGGTCTAAAGGGAATATCTAGGGGCCAGCCTCGGGGGCAGGCAGGTTATCACAATCTCTTAACAGAATAAGGTACCATGGCGATCTAGAGGCTATCCTGGGTACGAGATTCGTCGTGTGGAAAGTGGGGACTGCCTCCCCAGCTCAACAGGCAGGGCAAGGGGAGGGAGCCTCAACGCCGGGCATGTCCGCTGCCCACCGCTTTCCCCGCAGCGGTGCCCCGCGGAGGACCAGGACGGCCACCCTGCCGCCTGACACGCCTGATCCCGCCGCGACCTACCTGGGTGTACGGCCCGCTGCCGGCTGGACCCGTGGCCCGGGTCGCCCGCGCTGCCCTCGCTCATCACGACTCGACGAGGACCCTCCGGCCGCCTGGACCCGCGGCCCCGCCTCGTCGGGTTCCGGATGACGTCACAGAGGCAGGCGGGGCCGTTCCCACGGGCGCGGGGTGGCGACCGGCTACCACCAGGAGCCTCTCCCTCTTTTTTCTCAGTCGCCTTCTCCCCTCCCTTTTCCTACTCGCCCACTGTTCACTCCCCTCCTTTTCCCCCTCCCATCCCCTTTCTTTTTCCCTCCCTCCCTCCCTCCCTCTCTTCTGGTACTCTTGAGAACCAGGCTGGCCTTGAGCGCCTAATCGCCTGCCTCCACCTCCCAAGTGCTTGGATTACAAGTCCCACTATTGTAAAACGGAAAGTGTGGAACGTTGTCACTTGGGTTCGTGCGTGCGTGTGTGTGTGTGTGTGTGTGTGTGTGTACACGCATAGCTAAGGCAGTCAATGTGTACCTTACACTATATGTCAATGTATGTGTAGAGGGTGCAGTCAACCCAATCCACGTGCTTGGTTACCGGAGGGAGGGCGGGTCGGGGAGGATATGCTACATACGGTCTTCCTAAAAATGTTCTCCGCTCACCAACACCCCGTACATATTCATGTACAGCTAAAACATGAAATTAAAGTAATGAGTGGGGCCAGTAAGATGAATCAGCAGGTAAAGGTGTTTGCCACCAAGCCTGGCGGCCTGAGTTCTAGCCTCGGAATCCACATGGTAGGAGAAGGTGGACTCCCACAGATGCCCCCTGCATGCGTACAGATGCAAGAAATACAAAGAAAGGAAATTTGGGAAATATTCTTTTAAGGAAGAAAGTGGGGCTTTAGACATTGTTCATTGGTTAAGAGCACTTCTTCTTCCAGAGGATTGAGGTTCAATCCCCAGCACCCACAACCACCCTGAACTCCAGCTCCAGGGCATCTGACACCCTCTTCTGACCTACCCAGGCGGCTGCGTGCACATAGCCTATGTTCATGCAAACACACATACACATAAAAAGTTAAAAAGAAGAGCTTGGGAGACTGACAGATCTGTAAATGTGAGCCAGCCTGATCTACATAGCAAGTTCCTGGCCAGCCAGGGCTATATAGTGATACTCTGTCCAGAAGGAGGAGAAGGAAGAGGAAAGAATTGGGACTTGACGGGGGAGTTGCTGTCCCACCTCCTCCAGAGGTTGAGGCGGGAAGATTGAGCCCTAGAACCCAAGGCCAGCCTGGACAACATAGGGACCGCAACAAAGAAGAAAGTGGAGCGGAGGAGGGGCGGGGAAGGGCAGGTGGCAACACGGCAGAGCAAGACTGCTATTTTGAGAATTACTAAAAGGCTCAGACGCCAGCTGGCACCGGGGACTTTCAGCCTTGACGGTGAAGGCAGCCAGGCGGGATCGCCACGTCTGTTTGAAGGTCATCCGCTTCCCAGTGTCCCTCCCTGTGCCCTTCACCCTCCGCATTTTCTTCCACTGTGCCCTCTTCCTCCCTTGTCAGTTAGATAGTGCCTGTTGACCTCTGGCTGTTTACACGGTTTCTGACTTTGTAGTTTCTCTGTCCTACTGAATGATTAATACAGGATATTAACATTGATTTTTTTTAAAAAAATTGTCAGCCATGGTGACTCGGGCTTGGATCTCCAGACAGAGCTCTAGAGACAGAGGCAGGACTATTCTGAGTTCAAGTCCAGCCTGGGCTGCATAGCAAAACCTGACGCAAAACAAATAAGAAAACTGAACGGGAGCATAAAGAATCTGGCCCAGTTGTTGCGTGAGGAGTGTCCCAGCATGCACCAGCCTATCCCTGTATGAGTTGCAGTCCATCTCCAGGCCCTGAGCCGTTTTCCCCCAGTCAGCAATGTTTCCTACAGTTTTCCTTCGTCTTCCAACCCACTTCCGCTTTGCCTTCTCATTATTTCCAGGTAATTTAAATTTATGAATATGGGTGTTTGTGTCTGTGCACCATGTGTGTGCCTGGTGCCTGTGGAGGCCAGAAGAGGGCATCACATCCCCTGGAAATGGAGTTGCAGACAGTTGCGAGCTTCCATGTGGATGCTGGGAACCAAAACCAGGGTCTCAGGAAGAGAGCCAGTGCTCTTAACTGTTCAGTCATTCTAGACCCTTGAAGTGTTGTTGTTGCTTTTGAGGTCTCCTTGGCCCAGGCTGGCCATGAACTCATTATACAGCCAAGGGTGACCTTGAATTCCCACCCCCCACCTCCCGAGTGCTGGGATTGCAAATATGTGCCACCATCACCAGCTTCACTGTCAGCTCTTCCAGAAAACTGTATTTGTAGAAAAGAAATAGAAATTACTGAGCTGGATGTGTTCGAGGCCAGCTTGCATAGTGAGACCCTGTGTCAAAAACAAAGAGGGGAGAGAGAAAAGAAAGAGAGAGGAATTGCATTGAATGTCATCACCACCACCATCATCAGTGCGTGCAATGTTCTGTGTTCGTGCAGGTGCATATGCACAGTATGTGGAGTCCAGAGGTCACCTTTGGGTCTTACACCTCAGGAGCTTTCTGCCTTGCTTTAGTTACTTTTCTAATGCTGTGATAAAATACCACAACCAAAACAACTTATAGAAGAGTTTATTTTGGCTTTACGGTTTCAAAGGATTAGCGTCCATGATAGCAGCGTGGAGGTGGCAGACAGTGGGCAGCTGGAGCAGCGGTTGAGAGTTCAGGTCTCCATCTATAGGCAGGAGGCAGAGAGGGCTTGTTCCAAATGGCATAAGTCTTTTGAAACCTTAAAGTCTGCTCTCAGTAACACACCTCCTCCAACAGGGCCACACCTCCTAATCCTTTCCAAACATTTCCCCCAACTGGGGACCAAATATTCCGACTTATGAGCCAGTGGGGGCCATTCTCATTCAAACCTCTACACTGTGATACAGTCAGGGTCACACTTGCAAGGGCCCAGCAGTTTCAAAGTTCAGGGGCTTGGTGGGGGGGCGGGCTACTTAATGCATATCATCATGGCCTGCTGTGTCTCCATCGCCCAGACTCTTCCTTCTCCAGTGTACCTCCAAGCTCTCAGAACTACTATTTATAGGGAGGCAAGATCCCCCTGCCTGGATAGCCACAGAAGCTTGGTTAGTGCTTCGTGATTTTAGGGTACCACCTGGCCTTCTAAGGACCTGTTTTTAATGACAGTGTCTTTCAATGACATGGGGTCAGTTAGACTTGCTGGCCAGGAGCCCCAGGGACCCTCCTGTCTCTGCTCCTAAGACTGCGATTACAAGAACATTGTACAGCCAAGGTCTTACCCTATTTCCCAGGCTGACTTCAAATGTACAATGCCCCTGCCTCAGTTCTAGAAGCCTCACCTCTCAAGTGCTAGGATGACAGGCAGATGCCACCATGCCCAGCTGGAAGCTGCCATTTTGAAACCTCTTTTCAGACACACGTACTTTAATTCTGTGTTTCCTTCGACTAGGCTGTCAATGGACAAATGGAAGACACCACGCATGCACATACATTTATTAAAATCCTATCATTGCCGTACTTAACAATAATAGATGACCCCAACAGGTATGTGTTTGTGTGATTGAAGTTAAAAACACCTCCCCCAGGGGGTCCTTGGTTTTCATCTTGTGTAACACATGGATTAGGGCCATGATGCCAGGTTGGGGTGGCACCTGCCCTGGGGGTAGTTTGAAAGCCTTGGTGAGCTAGGAATACTTTTGCTCTGAAGGGTGGAAGCTGGGGTTGCTCCCCAGCACCAAGCTAGAGGTCATTCTATCGCTCACAACCGCCATCCTGCCTCCCAGGAATTGGTAATAAGACCCTGAACCAATGGCTGGAGCAACGGTTCTGGTGTTAACAGAGCATCCTGCTCTTCAGATGACTCACGTTTGATTATCGCTGCCCTGGAAGACAGCATATGGTTGTCTGTAGCTTCAGCTCCATGGGATCCAACATCCCCTTCTGCTCTCCAAGAGCCCACACGTGTATATGGCACATAGACACGCAGAGTGGACAGAAATAAAAATTAGTGGGGCTGGAGAGAGGGCTCAGCAATTAAGAACACATACGCTCTTATAGAGTGCAATTGTTTGGTTCTCCGTACCTATGGCAGCCAGTTCACAGGAACTCCAGTTCCAAGGGATTGGACACCTCTGGCCACTGCAGGAACCTGTACTAGTACACATACCTACCCACCCTCATATATACAAATATACATAATACATTTTTAAGAATTGAGTCAAGAGCCTGCATTGCAGGAACAACTGTCTGGCATTTCTGCTTCCTTTTGACAAGAACTGAATTTTCCAGGAATACAACACCGCACACGTTTTAAGAACACTTAGGATTTAGTCTCCAGTGGTGTCTTGGTCTTCCCTGTCTGCACCAGTCCACACCTGCACCAGTCCACACCTGCACCAGTCCACAACGGCACCAGTCCACATCTGTAGATGTAGGATTGGTGACGTTTCCCCTGAAAGTCCTGAGGACACTTGCAGAAAGAACACTGTTCTCCAAGCACAGTGGCCATTACCACCTTCATCAGAGCAGCTGCCTGACGACTCAAAAGGGACCCTCAAGATCAGGTCTGTGGAACTTCCCTCGTAGAAAAGAGGACATGGAAAGTAAGAAGAGACCCTCACTGAGGCTCCAGCTGGAGGCAATTCTGTCCCTGCTGTCTGTGCTAGAGTATTCCCACGGTAGAAGGCTAATTGGGGGATGGGAGCATTTATACAGCTTAGCCATGCAGGGCTAGGACTTAGAAGTGATATGGGGGCCTAGCTAATGATCATAGGCCACTAGGGGTGGGTCTTTAGCAGTTATAACCCAGGACTGGTTCAGGATCCAAGGTCTCTGCATCCTGTCCATCACTGTGGTGGTTTAAATATACTTGACCCAGGGAGTGGCACTATTTGAAAGTGTGGCCTTGTGGGAGGAAGTGTGTCACTATGGATGTGAGCTTTAAGACCCTTATCCTAGCTGCCTGGAAGCCAGCCTTCCACTAGCAGCCTTCAGATGAAGAGGTAGAATTCTCAGCTCCTCCTGCACCATGCCTGCCTG